GGAAAGCTACGAAGTTGTGGTTGTCACAAGAGATGTATGTTGAACGGGTGCTTGAAAAGTCAACATGAAAGATGTCAAGCCAGTCAATACTCTGCTGGCTAGTCATTTCAAGCTGAGCAAGAGTTCTTGACCCTCATCTACGAAAGAAAGAGAAGAGATTGAGGCAATTCCCTATTCTTCTGCCGTAGGGAGCTTAATGTATGCAATGGTATCTACTCGACCAGATATTGCTCATGCTGTTGGAGTTGTGAGCATATTTCTTTCTAATCTAGGAAAAGAGCATTGGGAAGCAGTCAAGTGGATTCTGTGGTACCTTAAGGGTACATCTAAAATGTGTTTGCGCTTTGGAGGAGCTAAACCAGTCTTGGAAGGCTATACTAATTCAGATATGGCAAGCGATCTTGATAGTAGGAAATCTACATCAAGATTTCTGTTTACTTTTGCAGGGGGACATGTGTCCTGGCAGTCCAAGCTGCAGAAGTGTGTTGCTTTATCCACAACCAAGGCAGAGTATAGTGCCCCAGCGGAAGTGGAAAAGAGATGTTGTGGTTCAAGCGATTTTTGTGATAGCTAGAGTGCCGTAGACCTGAGCAAGGATTCTATGTACCATTCTTGCACGAAGCACATTGATGTTTAGTATCATTGGATAAATGAAGTGATGGAAAAACAATTATTGGAACTGGTCAAGATCCACATAGATAAGAATCCAATCGACATGCTTACAAAGGTAGTCTTGAGAGACAAACTCAAAGTGAGCATGGGCATTACTGGGATGGACTTCCAGTAAGGATCCTACTCCCCATGTATGTTAAGGGGTGAATTTTTGAGTATCCACACCATGCTTCGTTGGATTTTTTGGAAGTCAAGAATGAAGGCTACAAATTTTCTGAAGTTTTTTCCAACCTAGGGTGGCTATGTTAATGGCTTGCCATTAACTTTGGTAGTTGGTTGTTGCCAAGAAGAGGTTGATTTTATTTTATTCTTTTGGCTCTCTTGTTTGTGTATAAATAAGGTGAGCTGTAAGCTGAGTTAATCATCATAAGGTGAAGGAAAAGAGAGAGTTGTGAGAAGTGTATGAGAGTTCTGAATTGAGTAGAGAGAGTAAGAGAGTCCTCCTCCTCTGTTTTGTGTCTTTGCTCTGTTTAAAGTGCATTCTTTTTCTCTCCCGTAGATGTAGGCATTGGGGCAAACCACGTAAATATTTGTCTCAATTGTGTGTGTGATTGCTTGTTGATCATTTCCTTGGTGTGTTTAATCACAACAGAAACCTGATGCTGCTATTCTTTTCCAGTTTGGGACAGCCCATCAAAAGTTAAATTTCAAAATTAGTAATCTATGATTGGTTAAATACAGTTTCCTACAAAAGAATAATCAAGATGAGAGCTAAAACTCTGTTTGTAAATTCAGTTACCTTGTGTAAGGTTTGTGCCTTGTGCTATTGGTTTCTTTATCTCTAAGAATTTGCTCAATGATATCATATATACTCTTTCTTTGTACCACTATTACCCTTCCCAACATTTCAGAGTTTTCAAAATTTCAGAGTTTTCATCTAAGATTCTGTTATCTTTGCAAAGTGATCTATAACTTCAAGGATTTCATTATTTCTAGCTAGGGGTCATCAGTGGACCTGCAACTAATTTGTCCATGTCTCATATATTAATAAATTTTTTGAGTTTTGACTAGTCAATGGCTGGTATAAGCTAGACTTATTTAAAAAAATTTAAAGTTTCACCCATAAGCCAAAATATTACGAGCCAAAACTACATATTTTTTATTAGATTTATATCATTAAGTTCTACATATTTTTTTTTCTTATTTAATAATTCATATAATCAAATTAATTAATACTATTAAAATAATCAAACTAAAGTATAAATTCACCAAATTAACAAATTAAGACAATGACAATGTTATATGTAAAATGTTGAGAGCAAAGAAAATATCACTAGTTATTGTCAAATTCAATTTTAACAAATTATGTTTTATGTATTTTTTTATGGTACAATTTATAAGGATAATATGGACTATCAAATGTTGTTTTTTTTAATGAAACTTTATTGATTTTAATGTATTAAAATTGAATTTAACAGTGTTATTTTTTTTAATAATATTAATTTTTTTTAGACAGGATAGTTTGAGTCGGCTAATGGCATGGTTGGGTTCACTACAAGAATTAACACTTTTGCCGACCAAAAAATTGGTCGCTAAAAGCCCATTTTTGGTCGGCAAAAGTTATCCACGACCAATTTTTTTGGTTGCTACTTTGGTCGCCAATTGAGGGTCGGCAATAGTAATTCGCGACCAAAATTTTTGTTGGTCGGAAAAAGTTGGATTTGCCGACTAAATTTTTGGTCACTAAATATATCATTACTGCGACTAATCCATTTTGTTGCTAAAACACTTTGGTCGCGAAAAGTGATATTTTGGTTTAGCAAACTTCACACATAAAATATCTTTGAACAAACTTCATAATTAAAGTTTAAATATCAAATTTATAATATAAAAATGTTGTGTACAACATAAGTAAAGATATCCACGTCAAAATGGCACATGTATAGTGGGTTAGAATGGGACAACATTCAATAAAAGAATGTTTCTAAATTAGTATCATAACTGAGTAACTTTTTTCACTTTATCAAATTTCAAAGCTTCAAGAAATGGTGAATGAACATTTTGGTTTAGAAGAGTAATCATCCTAGCTTTAAAAAAAAAAATAGATAAAAAATAAAAAAATAAAAGAAAGAGACTAATCATCCAATTTAGAATGGAAGTGCCAAAAAAAAGAAAAAAAGAAAAAAAAATACAACACAATCCCAACATTTTTAATGTGGATTAGTCACCTGCAACAAAACCACTCCAACGCTTGAATTCACTTTAAAAAATCAATTAAAAAAAATCATAACAATAAAATCACATCAAAATACCTTTGAGAAACTGAGAAACCAATAACTATGAATTAAGAGGAATTGAACATTAAAAAAAAAAAATCAATAAAACCCTTCTTGATATATATGATCAAACACCTTTCAATTTAGTTCCCAAGTCTCTTGATTAGTGTATATCATGACTTATGAGTTCACATGTTGCTACTTAAAGAATATGAATATGAATTGTATCAAGAAAAAAAAAATGAATATGAATTGGTAAGTATAAGAATTCACAATTTAACAACTGCAAGTATAACTCTTCTTCTTTTTTCTTTTTCCAATTCAGCAAGACGAATTTAACAATTTAGATAATACACGAAAACAAATGAAGATAAATAATATCTAATTTGGAATCCCATTACAGGCAGACTTATGACAAAAAACTTTGCCCAATAAATCATTATACAACAATTTACTAAAGTTGAGGCAAGCTTTAATTTTTTAGATTTTAAAACAACATAGGACATGTACTCAACGTTCTTACTATCATCGTTTTTCTTCAATATGCTCATCACAGCAAAAAAATGCGTATTGAGAGCCCCAATAAAAAACCTAAATGCAAAGATGTTACTAGCTACAATATCATGGACAATTGCCACTTTTATACACCTGAAATTTTAAGAAAAAAACAAAAATAAAAGTCAAAATATATGACTCTAATCGAGTGCCTAGGATTCACAAAAAATAAAATAATTAGATGAGATTGAACAATTTATGTTGGTGATGAGAAGAGATTGAACAATTTATGTGTAATAAATTTTTATATTACAATTTATTAGGTAGTGCCTAATGACGATTAGAAGGCTTTTTTAAATCCAACAATTAGAAGGCTTAACCATAAAATGAAAATTACCACGACCTCAATAAGATAAAAAAAAAAAAAATGGAATGATCGAAGAGATTTTGTACTTGAGTGCTCAAAGTTGTGATTTAAAACATTCCCTACAAAAATCATGCACGTTGTGTAAAAAAACTTTAAGTAAATAAAAAATTGAAAAATAAAATCAAACTTACATTAAACAATCAAGGGTGAGTTAAGTCAATTTTTCCAAATGAAAACAACTCTTTCATTATCATATTAACAATTAACGAAAGGATCAAGATAGACATTATACGTAAATTGAAAACCGTTACCTAATCACAAACATAAACATTAAGAGAGGCATTATAGTTTGTGCAAGAATGTGTATGAATTGTGTTTGGTAAGTAGACATTGCATTCAAATCAGCACCCACCCTTATCCAATCAAACCACCAATCAGATGGTTGCAATCGACAATTAAATAGAAAACTTCCAAGAAAGAAAAGGAAAGAAGCAAATTGATATGTACGCAATTCCCCTAATATATTCTCTGCTACTGGAAATCCTTAAACTGTTAATTGATCATATGTAAAATTAATCGTACGGATAGATATGTGATTTTTTAAAAATTATAGTCCGTAACTACACAACTGGGAGAGAAATAAGCTTGTGAAACTGGACAAAACTTAGGTTTTTCTTAATGTTGCTCTCAAGCCAAAATATTTGTTCTGTCACCATACCCCATTGGCGATATAAACTTAGGTTTTTGCTTAATGTTGCCCCTAAGCCAAAATATTGGTTTTGCCACTAAACACATTGGCAATATAATTTAATTTTGAGGCTAGGTTTGATTGTTCTAATGCTATGTCTTGAAACCATAATGTTGAAACCATAATAGAAATATAAAATTAGAAAATATTATTCTAGTGGTATGTCCTGCGAAAACTAAGATATTGAAACCATAATAGAAATATAAAATTAGAATAAATAGCACAAAGAACAAAGAGATTATCATTATGTTTAGGGATCAAGTTTAAAACATTTTCTCCTAGCAAAGGAACAATAAGGAGGATGTGCTCGTAGTAGTACTTGATCTACCATCTTGGAGTAAACAAAATCTTAGAATCCAAAAATCGACTCAACAAAAGCAATTAACTTCAAGCAACTGACTCCATCCTATTGTCAAGCTGCCAATTGGCCACATAAATATTATATTTAGTACAACTCTCTAGATGAGAACCCCAAAATCATAAAGAAATAACAAACATCACATGGAAGAGAATGATCAAATTAGAGATTAAAATCCCTCATTTATGTATGTAATGACAAATTAGATTGATAGTGCGTATGGTTGGAAATGGAGAGTTGAAAAAGAAAAAAGAAAAAAAGAAAAAAAAAGAAGCAAAATTAGAAATTACTATAGAACTTATCCTAGCTTAGCGTTGTCGGTTGATCTCACTCCACTTGTCTGCAAACATACACTATCACACAATGGTTTCTCTTTTTAATACACAATGACATTGTCAAATGAAAAAAAATAACAACGAAAATGAGTAAGCTTAACAATGTATCCATCGGGGACCTGATTACCATGGGTCCATTACCGCCATGGGTCTTCTCAATTATTGTAACTAATGCTTTCCTTTCAGCAAAACCAACTAAAATTTGAGTGTGAGACTGCAATATAACAAACAATCAAAGTAAAATACCTTTTCGGAGTCTAGTTAAAGATTGACAATGGTTAAGTATCGAGTAGGCATCACTCTAAGCCAATCTACTACCACCAATTCGTACCAAAATGTATTGATTCTAGACTTAAAAAAACAAAAACAAAAAGAAGAAGAAGAAGCTACCAAAAGGAACAATTAAGAAACAACATCACTACTCTAGAAGTGGTAAAGAAAAGAACATGATCATATCATAATTTCATATTAGATACTAACCTTATTGAATAGCTAAATTTCACCATTAACTGTTGGTTTTGGTACACCATGTCCATTATAATGGAAGAGAACTCTATCAGAATTGGCATTCAAGCTCATAATGTGCCTACTTACATGTCATGAAGAATAAGTTAAAACATTATTTGATATTAAATTTATACATAGAAATAATTAAAAAAAATCTCACTTTGGGTTGCCATCATTTATATTGGAAGAAGTAAAATGACATAAATACTTTCATAACGTTAAACCTTCACCCATAAGAAATAAATCTAAGTGACTCTAGCCATCATCAAATGCACGACCAATTTGACAACAGGTGCCACAACTTGAAAAACAAATTAAACAGAGAATAAAAAGACGCAGGTTATGCAGTTAATTGCAGGCCAAAAAATTCAACAAGTCAAAGTAGATACACCCATACAACAAACATTTCAAACTAATTTCATAAATTAAAACCCATTTCATAAATCAAAAGCTTTTCAAAACGATAGGAAATCAACACCCATTTCCTATTAAAGAATTAAACCCATTTCGTAAATCAAAACCATGTCAGAAATTAAACTAAAAATAAAAAATTCATTTCTGAAATCAAAACCCATTTTAAAAATGAAACCCATATCATGAAAATTAAGTATTATTTTAGACCCAAAACCCTTTAAAAATTTAAATCCATTTAAGAAACAAAACTTATTTCAAAAATCAAAACTCATTTCTCATTTCAAAATAAAACCCATGTCAGAAGCCAAACTGTAAATAGAAATCCACACAATGACCAACCTAACCAAACACCCACAGACGTCAAAAAGGTTTATGGTTTAAAATTGATGAATTGCAATTTCAACACCAATGCATAATTCACAAAAATAAATGATCTGAGATTCAATAAAATGAAAAAATTTCCAAAATCCAGATTTGACAAAAATAACCAGACAAAAAAATATTCAAATTCAACTTTACAAACTCATAAAAGTATCCAGATTCAAGTAATCAGAAACAACCAAACCCACAAACATATCATGAATTGCAAAGCTTGGAAGTTCTAGATTCAAGCACAAACCAAAAAAACCCCCAATTTTAATTCATATTTCCAGTCACTTTCCTTTTCTCTCCACAAATCACTCTCCAAATCCAAGATTCAAGCACAAACCAAAAAAAATCCAATTTTAATTTTTCTAATTATTCCACTACCTTCAATTTCTAAAACTCCCAAAACTTTTGCATAAATACACATATGTAAACAAAAAAAATCCTAATGGGTTATGCAGCTCCACAATCCCCACAATACATATCTATCAATATATATACCAAACAATCAAAACACATAAATACACAATCAAAATTGGTTGCTCATACATAAATACCAAACAATCAAAATAAACAAGTAGACATTCAAATACCCCATGTTTTAGAGAGAGATTAATCTGATTCAGTGGGGGAAAAAAATAAAGAACTTAACTAATTAAAATACCTGTTTGGGATCTCTTTGAATATTGACAACGACGGAGTATCGATCTCTCTAGAGACTGTGGTGGTCCAACGAAATCTCCCCTTTTGTAATGGCACTTTTCGAAATCTCTCCTATGGCTGAAAAGGTTGTGTCAATTGTGGTGGAATAGGGAATTTGGCCTGCCACTGTTGATGAAGATTGAGATGGCAGAAAGAGGGTGGAAGGAAAAGAGAAAATGAAGAGAGTAATAGGGGGTTCGGGGTTGAGTTTTTGGCAAGGGTTGGGCTTTGATAGGGAATTGACTGAATCAAGAGTATGCAAGAGTATTGACTGAATCAGAGCAAGAGAGGAAGAAGAAACGAATAGGGACTGGGGTTGAGTATCCCACACGAGATGGGCTCTAATGGAGGTATAGAGAGAGAGAGAGAGAGAGAGATTGTCTTCAATTTACAAAGAGCATTTGGACAGGGAGTGAAGACATTTCAACCGTTGAAGTTTAGATGGGAAAATCTGACCCTTTGATATAAAATGTATTTCTTAGATATTTTGAGACATTTTCAAAAATTCTTGTGCCATATTAATATAGAAGATATGGAAATTGTATGTATGTCCGTAATGTCCTAATATATTATGGGCAAAGAAACATTACATGGAAGTATGTGTAAAATATATTGAACAAAGAGAAGAAAATAAAAATAATAAACAAATAGAGAGAAAAATAAAAACGAGAAAAAATTAAAAAAATAAATAAAAAGAAAAGAGAGACGAAGGTAGGATCATGGGATCATAGAAGGACGGGTGAAAAAAAGAAAAAGTAAGAGAGAGAAGCTGAAAAATAGAAAATGTACATGTAAGATATTTTTTGAAAGATATATTTCAGCCGTTGTTTTATAATTTGAATAGATCTGAGCCGTCCAAATGTCCTAATAGGACAAATGTGTGTATGACAAATTCAAAAATTATCTTGCTTTATTATATAAATGTTGAAGATTCATATGAGGTCTAAATTTATAAAGTTTATCATGTATTCAATATATTTAAAAATAATAATTAATTGTTCAAATTCATTTAATTTGTGAACTATAAAATTTATTAATTTAATCTCCCTTACACACAGTAAAATCTAGCTCTAATTCTGGGATCACAGACTTTTTCATATAATATGAATAAAAATAAGTGAACAAAAATGAGAAAATAAAAAAAAATAAACAAATAGAGAGAAAAATAAAAATAGAAGAAAATAAAAAAAAATAAAAAGAAAAGAGAGATGAAGGTGGGATCATGGGATCATAGAAGGATGGGTGAGAAAAAGAAAAAGTAAGAGAGAGAAGCGGAAAAATAGAAATGTGCATGTAGGATATTTTTTGAAAAATATATCTTAGCCGTTGTTTTATAGTTTGAATAGATCTGCGCTGTCCAAATGTCCTAATAGGACAAATGTGTATTGAACAAATTCAAAAATCATCATGCTTTATTATATAGATATGTAAATTGTATGTATGCCCGTAATGTCCTAGTGTATTACGGGCATACAAACATTATATGGAAATATGTGTAAAATATATTGAACAAAAAGAAGGAAAAAAAAAAACAAATAGAGAGAAAAAAAAAATGGGAGAAAATAAAAAAGAAAAAAAAGAAAAGAGAGATGAAGGTTGGATCATGGGATCATAGAAGGATGAATGAGAAAAAGAAAAAGTAAGAGAAAGAAGCGGAAAAATAGAAAATGTACATGTAGGATATTTTTTGAAAAATATATCTCAGCCATTGTTTTATAATTTGAATAGATCTGAGCCGTCCAAATGTTCTAGTAGGACAAATGTGTGTAGGACAAATTCAAAATCTTGCTTTATTATATAGATGTTGAAGATTCATATAAGGTTTAAATTTATGAAGTCTATCAAGTATTCAATATATTTAAAAATAATAATTAATTGTTCAAATTCATTTAATTTGTAGACTATAAAATTTATTAATTTAATCTCCACTACACACAGTAAAATCTGGCTCCTAATTCTGGGATCATAGACTTTTCCATATAATATGAATAAAAATAAGCGAACAAAAATGAGAAAATAAAAAAAAAAGCACATAGAGAGAAAAATAAAGAATGGAAGAAAATAAAAAAAAATAAAAAGAAAAGAGAGATGAAGGTGGGATCATGGGATAATAAAAGGATGGATGAGAAAAAAGAAAAATTAAGAGAGAGAAGCGGGACAATAGAAAATGTACATGTATGATATTTTTTGAAAAATATATCTCACCCGTTGTTTTATAGTTTGAATAGATCTAAACCGTCCAAATGTCCTAGTAGGACAAATATGTGTAGGCCAAATTTACATCATTCTTTATTATATGTATATATATATATTAAAAACAATTAAATTATAAAGAAATAATGTCCTATAAATTGTTTAATTACATCAATTGTGAACTTTATGAAAAGTCAAACAATAAACTGAAATACTTTTTTTTCTCTCTCTAGAAAATAACTGTTACTGAAGCTCTCCGACCTAATGAACAACGCGATGATGGCTGCTCAGCGAAGGAGACTGATCTCCTCAACCGCAGCAAGAAGAAGATTAAAAGTACAACAGAGCAAGCCGCTGATGATATCATGGCTGACAGTCAATAGGTGGAGAAAGGTTCAGAGGATGTACAAAACCCCACTCACTGTGCGCAATAGTCGAAGGAAGACTCATCTAAACCACCAAGTGAAGATTTACCCACAGTCTAGATGGAAATCATGGAGGTAAACAACGAATCAACTAGATCCTTCAAGCAAGCACTCCTCCGTTCGAGATTCAACAAAAATTGAAATGAAAAAAATTTCGATTGCAATGTGGAGGAGCTCTCTTCAGACAAGGAGGATGAAAATACTGATCAAAGGTTGGAGAAAGAGGATGAGGTTTATGGAGGAGACCAGAGACGGGATACCCAAAGTAAAGATACCACCAGGCCTCCTGAAGAAAGTGTGTGAGCCATGGAAAAAGTGTTTGATCGTGAGGCTATTAGGGAAAACCATAGGGTATAAATTGTTCATGACCAATATGACAAAGATTTAGGGGCTACAAGCAAACTTTGAAATCCTAGACATTGGTAACGGGTTCTTCATTGTTAAGTTTGACATGGCCGATGACTACACCAAAGTATACACTGGAAGACCATAGATAGTAATGGATCACTATGTAATAGTGAGGAAATGGCAACAAGACTTCAAATCGGACGAAATGGAAGAGGATACTGCCGCGATATGGGTGAGATTTCCTAATCTCTCCATTGAGTACTATAATGAGAAAATCCTCTACCACATCGCAAAAGTTATTAGAATTCCGCTCAAGATCGACATCAACACAGCCATGGCAGCAAGAGGTATGCTCGAGTTTGTATAGAAATGGACCTCAGAAAGCCTCTAATTTCTCACTTTTCTATAAGTAAACACACTTATGGAGTTGAATATGAACATTTACACTCAATATGTTTTTCTTGTGGTAGGATTGGTCACCGGAGAGAGGCATGCAATGACAAACCTACTCCGGTGATGGTGCTAGAAAGCTAGACACTGAATGTAGATGAAAGCCAAAGCAATGAACGCCCAGTCAGTTTTGGGCCAAACCTAAGTGGGAAAGAGCATAAAGATGAGGTAGGCCCAGGGAATTATGGGCCATGGATAACTGTCCCAAACCAAAGAAGAAAATCAAGAGGCCCAATTGTTCATAGAGGTGCTAATACCCACAGAAAAATCGATTTGAGATCCTCTGAGAGGAAGAGGACCAACCAGGTCTCAAAGCCCAAGTAAGCAAGGAAAAAAGAAAAGGAAAAACATACGTATATGGGGGATTTCGGTACAAAGACAGAACATCAGAAGAAACAAAAAAAAGACTGAGATAATTAGCCTTTGCATGGCTAGTGAAAAGAAAGTTGAGGGAGTTCGAATGGGCAATATAGATGGCACTGACATAAAGATACGAGATCAAGAAGCAGTAATAGGGGAGTGTGAGACATCAAATCCACAGAGTAATAACCACCATTTCTCTACCACCACAACCCACCCACCCACTCACCCAACCCCAACCCTAGCCCACATTCCATAATTTCTTTTACTCGAATAAACTCCAGACCCAAATTCAGGGTTCCCCCAGATAAATATGGAGGCGAAATGAGAGAACTACCCTACGGAGAAACACATGTTGCGTCAGAACAAAGTATTGGTGTATCTATCCCCAGGGAAATAAGTGTTTCACCTCATCACCTCAGAATGGTGGAACGAGGAAGTAAGTTGAGGCTTCAACTATGGAGGCAGGTGGATGCAAACCAGGATATGCATTACCTCTCAATGACACCACTGAAGTCGATGGAAGATGATTTTGAGCCATCAGAGGCTACTTGCCATTAGATAGCCAAGCACCTCTACTATAACAAGATATACCATCTATATATTTGCTAATCTGGAATTGTAGAAGAGCATGGAACAAAAAGTTAAAACGGAATATGAGGGAATTAGTACAGATCCATAAACCAGAATTGGTTGTCCTCATGGAAACTAAAGTTCAGTTCAAGGCTATGGGATTGTTCTTCAATGGTATGGGTTTTACAGCCTCAGCTCATGTAGACCCAATAGGTCGTAGTGGGGGTATGTGGATGATTTGGAACCCAAACATAGTAAATGTTAGAGTGGTAGAAACCAGCTCCTAGCTAATCACTGCTACAATCTCTAGGCAAGACTACCCAGATTGGTTGTTTTCAACTGTTTATACAAGTCCAAACAGCAACCTGAGAGAAGATTTATGGGATCATTTACAGGACATTGCTTGAAATATGTTTGAACCTCGGTTAGTTACTGGTGACTTCAATGACTTCACCACACCTAATGAAAAACAAAGTTTACAAGGTAACCAGATACAGAACTTGAGTCAAGATTAGAGAAGAGGAAAGAAATTCAATGAATGGGTTGATAATTGCAAACTTATGGATCTGGGGTGTTCAGGTCCTAGGTTGACTTGGTCTAACAACAGAAAAGGCTTGGAAAATACTATGGTAAGGTTGGATAGAGCTATGTGCAATATGGAATAGAGAACCAGTTTCCTAGATGGAGTAGTTCGGAATCTACCTCGCACCTGTTCAGACCACTCCCCAATGATGGTGTTTACTCAAGGTAAGTCTCCCTTTAAACCCACTTGTAAACCCTTTAAATTCATGGCAGCTTGGATAACTCATGAGGACTTCATAAATGTTATTGATAATAGTTGGACCAAGAACCATGTCTCCTTGAGTTATAACCTCCAGAAACTAGCTCAAACAACTAGTGTTTGGAACAAAGAGGTCTTTGGCAATATCTTTAGAAGGAAGAGATGGTTACTTGGGAGGATAGAAGGCATTCAAAAATCTCAGGCCAACAATCTTCATACTCTTGAATTAGATCTTATAGATCAATATAATAAAGTGCTTTATCAGGAAGAGCTACTGTGGTTTCA